GCGGTCATTTTACAGGTATGTGTGACTTAGGCATTCCAAACTGTGTTACAGCGCCGTGCATGCACGGCTGTGACACCTAATCGACTTACTTGACTAATTGTCTTTTGCAAGAGATTGGCTGTTGAGTTGGAATGCGGTGGACTAGTAGCCGCCCTGTCAAGGAGAGTGCGCGCCGAGTCCGAGTCCCCCGTGCTCTCGGTCGCGGATACCGAGCCCTCAGATGGTACCGATGACCGTGAAGAAAGTCCTAAAAACAAGATGTTCTGTGGTGTGAGAAGCCAGGAGGTACCCAAAAAAATAATTTGCCAGTAAATAGAGTTTGGTGCGAAAGGTAGCAATAAGAAACAGTAACGCGTATGCTACTTTGAGAAACTCTGATATTCCTGTGTAACCAACAGAGGTAAGTTGTTCATATTGAAATCTTGAACTGAACGAATGATTACCTTTTTTAAACACCAAAATTTTGGGAGTCAGTGAGGATGAACTAAAATGATACCTCCATGAGATAATTCGGGGGAGTAGAATAAATATGCTGGGTAAAGCTGGACCCAGGGTGTTGTCCAGCATCTTGGAGCCGCGCAACCGAATGTATGTTGCGATAATTTACTTGTCCATGCCAAAAAGTAGGACAGAGAGCTACTTTTATAAAAATTGCCCAGTAGCGCCTACCGTTTCCACAATGCTCGCTATACGAAACGACTTTTATGATCGTGGACCACGGACAGCCTGGCCGAGTTTATATAACACTTTGTTATTTCCCGAAAAAAACACAAGTATTTTTAAGGTAGTACTGCATTAGGCAGCTCTGGAGAAGGGGAGGGGGTCGGCAATGTTTACGCTTTCAAGGATACTAGAAAAAACGATTCGTTGAGACAGAATGAGGAAAAATCCGGTAGGTGGTTGTCAATAGATTATTTCCCTTGGGGACCATTGTCGTCCACTGTGATAGTTCCGTCCCTCTCATTCCTTCTTAAGCCGGTGAATGAGGCCTGGATTGCCATTGGAGGCCAGGCATTTTTAACTGTGTCTTGCGCTCTTACTAGGTCCATAGTGATTGGTCGGTTTTCTGCTGATGGACAACATAATTAGAAGATCAGTGCCAGTAAGCTTCCTAGTCCTTCGTTGTTTCTCTGCCAGTCATCCACCAAGTACTCGGAAGACATTTGCTGTTTCTTCTCTCATGCTGTCGTAAATGTTGCAGACGTTCACCCTTCTTTTATTCCCTACCATTCCTGCAATTTGCAGCTTCATACCACAAATGCTGAAACCCGCAGTTTCTGATTGCATCTGATCTTACCGGTTTTCTATTAGACACTAATTTGGTCGCAGGCAGACGCACGCGCGGGCACTGGGCTTACCTAAACAAAATAACAAGACACTATAGGAAGGTATATGAATGAGAAGGTGAGGCGATCGCTGGGGAGGATGGTTTACTCATCTGACATTTCACACTCGTACTTGAACACATCATCGGAGATAGAGAGAAGCTAGAATCCGACGCTTAATAATGCAACTCAAGGGCTGGTTACCGGCTGAAAACACGTAAGGAGTTGTTTACCGCGTAAACTTTCCGGCCAACTAATTAGATCGCGTATGCACATGAGTACACTCTAGCCGTAAAAAGAAAAGACGTACGATCGCATGTCACAAAACAGTCTCAAAAAGAGCCACCAATTCGGCTTCGACAGCGCACAAATATTCGGCCGAGGCGAGAGCAAAATGGCAAGGGAGATGGTCGAAGCCTGGCAATCCGATGCTTATTCTATGAACTATATGGCCGACGTACTAGCGCCATACAAGGCCGTCAGGCACCGATTGGACAAGGCAGCAGGAGCAACGAAAATATAAAAAATGGACGTATGATCAGTGAATCAGAAAGATCTATTTGAATTATTTATTTAGCATTTTTGTCTATCTCCAGTGATGTGCTCGAGTACGAGTATGAAATATCAAATGAGTAAACCATCCTACCCAGAGATCGCCCCACCTTCTTATTCCATCTCAACATCTGTGGTCAGCATTTTAGCCTATATCCATATATATATATATATGTGTGTGAATAGTAGGGCACTCACTGGGGTAATTACGGGACATGCTCGTCCGGTTTTGCCTTAGAGCTCACTCTAGAGCCCTCGCAGGCAGTCGCATGACGCCCATGAAAGTATGCTGGAGGGGAATCGACAAACACAAGGAAGACAAAAAATGTCAATTTCTGGTTTATTAACATTCATCAGCCAGTCATGCCCGATGACTGTCTGCGAAAGCTCCGGATTGAGTTCCAAGGCGAAACGGGAGGAGCATGTTCGGTAACCAGATCAGCGAGTGCCCTACTATTCATCATATTCCCAATCACAAACAACAAAAAATGAGCCCATGTGCAATGTTAGAGTTTTGCTTTCAATGACCAAAGTTCTTGAGTTCGAATACCGGGGGTTGCCATCCCTGAGATTAGCTATGATTGGTTGATAATGGTTAATAAATCAGAAATGACCACTCCGGTCTCCCTTGTCATCGTCGTTATACCATACTCCTGATATAGTTACTAGCTAACAGTTCAGACACGTGTTTTGTCGATGTCTCTGCTACTAAATTATGCAGCAATGGGGAGTTCGGCTCTTCAGTGTGTCCCTCAGCGTTCAACGAGCAGTAGCTGGTATATGAACTCCATAGAATAATCAGGGGAAAATTTCTCAAAATATCAACTGCATGACATAGAGTTCAGTGACCGGGACATAATTTTTTAGGGTCAGACTCAAAATGTGAATAAACATTTGAGTCGAAGAAAATCAACCACTGTTTTATAACCATATAATGTCCCTCGGATAAGGGGAACATAGACCGAAAGCAGATGCGTGATGATAGTCACTAGGCACACTTCAAAAAAATTGAAGAATGTGACATTCAGCTCTGCGGTTATTTTGCCTAAAGTAGACAAAATCATAAAAGGCTTTTTCTCTACAATTCCATCCAACGCTTTTTTCTCATTAAAACGATGCCTCCTACAGAGGGACCTGCCTTAGTCAACAACCAACGTGCATCGGACGTCGAAACACAAACACACTCATTTATCCTAGTGATATTAATATTATCTTACCATGCAGCATTATAGTCAGGTTTGTTTATAAGGATTCTGCCTGGAAGCAGAACATGCCAACGGAAACCTTTGAGGGAAGAAACATTTATAACAGTTTGAAGAAGATGCTCTTTGGGATATAAAAGTAACTTTAACTAGTGGATTTTCGAGTCTAGTGCACCAGCTCGTCTTCGGACTAAGAGGAAATGCGCAATGAACAACTAAAAGTTCAAAAGTGCGGATAAAAATCAATAGTTATAGGGGAGGGAGACCTGATTGGTAGGTGTACACCCTAAAGATAGGGCTAGCTACCTTAATAAGAAGAAATTCATCTACGAAATCCCATGCGGAGGTTGTGATGCTGTACATTGTGGCCAAACAGGAAGATCCGTCTCCAGACGCATCCACGAGCGCCAATTGGCCGTGAAGAGACATGACCATTTGTCCGAGGTGGTCATGCATTGCCTCGACACGGGACACACATTTGCATGGGATAAAATCCACATCGTCGGAGTTTACCCCTCTAAAAATGGCCGAGAATTTCTTGAAGCCATGCACTCCGAAGATTCATGCATCAACCGCCACATAGAATTACATGGTATTCATAAACACTTCAAAGAACGGTGGAAGGGACGAAGGTCGCACGACACAGACTGACCGAGGCCACACCTACCAATCAGGTCTCACCCCATATAACTATTGATTTGCTTCCGCGCTTTTGAACTTTTAGTTGTTCATTGCGCATTTCGAAAATTCACTAATTAAAGTTACCTTTATATCCCAGAGAACATCTTCTTCAAATTAAAATTTATTGTGGTGCGTGTTTTCCAGTTTATGCAAATTAATAACAATGAATACTTCTATTTTCCT